TACATTATCCGAATTGTATAAGACATGTAAGTTCGCTTTCCCAAAGGACTTTTGGATATTCTTTAGGACATTTTTGCCTTTATTCATCAATAATTTTCTGTCCTATGCATACACAGACAGACACTTAGCACCCTTATACTATATTTTATATTATTAACAGACACAGTTTATAGTTCACAGATAGTTATTATTCAAATAAGAAAAATATCACATTGGCAAAAATCATCATATCGCGAATAACAAGTAAGTGATTTCGTGAATGTCAATCGATATTTTTTTGTTTTTATTGTATGATATTAATTTTTTCCAAGAACTATAAATTCTCATTTGTTTTTAATCGATGCATATTTCAGTTCACTTTGGATCTTTTCTGCAGGTAAGCTTTCTCTATGTACGATAGATAACTAAATTTGTTAAAGTTTTTCATTTCTCTGAAAGTATGATTTTCGCGTTGATCTCATATATTTAGTATTGTATCGGCATTACATTCTATAAATATAACCATTGTATAATTTGTTAGGCGATTATAATTGTAGAAGTCGTCTGATTCGAACTTGTTTTTGTTGTGTGGAGTAATTACTGAAATTATCGATTTTCAAGATGCGATTTTGGACGTTGTCATTCATGCTACTGGAGTTGTGTGTATCGAAAAACAATGGACAAAGTTTGTTCAGATTGCATAATTGAAAATTAAACAACGCGTTTCTTGCAATAGGTGTAACCACACGGTCTTCATCGAGTTGTTCGGTCCCACTTTGTAGTCGATATTACGGCAGTGATAGGACTAGTTGTCCAACTTCGTGGCTCTGCTATAACTTTCAAACATCAAACGGATTATCTTTGTGCGGTCCACAAGTGCTCTGTTCAACGCTTGATCCGTGCATCGGTGGATCACGATGCCATCAGAATAGTTCTGTGTGTGTGGTGAATAGCTGTTGTCCGTCGCCTGTTTGTATGCACTTATCTATGATTAGTCTATGCACAATCACTTCAAGTATCGTTAGTGAGTTATTTCATCCGAGTAAACCATTTATTTAGACCATTAAGATCTCAATATTACTTTAGTTGATCGTCTTTGTCCATACGCCACTTGGGAACAAAGCCCGACAACGTTTTTCAAGGATATCTCGAACCTGTTTTATTACTTCAATGATTTTGCTCTCGACTCAGACAATAGTGTGATTCTGAATGACGCAAACTCCAATCATATTTACAAATTCACGGGAAAAAACTTTGACGTCATCACTGTACTTGCTGCTGGAAATTGAACATACTATATGGAAGCAATGTTTGTGCATCCGTCTGGAGCTATTTATACGGCTGAAAGTCGAGTAAGTTGTTTTTTTTAGCTGCACACGACATGAAGTAGAAGAGTCAATGTGAAATTGAAATGGAGTCATTTTAACGTATCATAGTTAGTTTAACTTGTCCTTTCACTAGAACAGAATACAAAAATACTTTTCTTCAAACATGACCTGAATAGAAGGAAGACTGACAGAAAAAGAATATCATTATTTGAAAGAGAACTCTGATTCATGTAAGCTCAGTAGGAAAATTTGTCCTCATTCAAAAAGTAGCTGATGAAAAATGTTGATAGCGATTTTAAATACATATATATATATGTATGTAGAAGAATAAATATCCTAATAACTAAGTAAATTTTCATTAGTAGGTTTTCCGATTTAGCAGAGAAAGTATATGATGCAGCGGGGTAATATTTTGATCATCTAAGCTATGAAGAAATGGAACTTTTGGCTAAAGCCACAATTTTTTATGCTGAAAGGATATTGAGATAATAGAGAAGCAACATCATTTATTAGGCATACGATCAATTTTTGAGCGTTACTGTGTATAGATATTAATACACAGAATTAATTGACTATTGCTGTTCTATCTTAAGTATAATTACGCAACATATCAACGAATTTATCGCTTCCAACGGTATTCAGCTGCCGATGGAATTACAGGTGTCACTGTGTTTGGAGAAATAACCTGTGGAACAGCATCAAATGAACTTTGTAGTTGTTACAGTCTCTTTGTGGATAGCCAAGGTGGAATCTACTGCAGTGACAGTCAAAATCATCGTGTTGTCAAATTTGTTCCGTACACGTCAACACTGGTCATTGTAGCAGGTACAACAAATGGCTTATCGGGATATCAATTGAATGAACTCAGTTATCCTTCATCAGTATTTGTTGACAGAAATGGAAACTTATTCGTTCTTGACTCTGGAAATGGGTATGCATATGTTTCATTATCTTTTGATTTATGCGTTATTCTTTTCTCATTCTTCTATTCTTAGTCGAGTGCTCAAATTCTTACCAGGAAATCCAAATGGCACCATCGTATTCTCTTCATATATGTACTCATGGGCATCATCTTTCTTTTGTGATGATTATGGCATCATCTATTTGACAACGTACAATGGTGTTTACAAATGGATACCAGGTGTAATATATCCGGTTGCGATTGTTTCTGGATCATTTTTCGCAAAATCTCGTTTTGATGCGTATGGGAATTTGTATACGATTAATTACTATAAAACTACAATAGAAAAGTACAATCTATTGACAAACAGTTGCTAGATTATGACATTGATTTACTGCTTCATGAATTATGAATATTTCTAATACGATGAATGCAAACAGACTATCTGCTTATAATCACAATTATTTTAAAGCTCAATAAATAGTTTAAGTTGAGTGTGAGTGTGCGGAGCCAGTATGGATGAAGAGAATACTTTCATCCACACTTGCATCGACACCCTTACCCCATTCTCATATCTATTATACTCAAGCTTTTCTCTAGTTAAAGTTGCTGTCGGGTCACATTCGGCTGTCGAATAATGATCACTCATGAGACAAAAATTAACACTAGTAGCAGTTGTACGGAGGATACAAAAATTGAGACTATATTGAACCATCAAAACATACTACTAATGAGCTACAGATACAAGTTTCTCTGTTTGTGTGCTCTGTCATACAAAAACATTCTAAGTCTATTGTCTGATGTGAAGAGATTAATGAACAAACGATTGAGAAAGATAATCCATACTTTTATAACTATTTTCTATTCACATCCAAAGTAAGTATAAAGTGCTTTAGTCACTTTGAAATGCAAGAAGGCTCAATTTCAATCTTATAAGAGTCGTACTCTAGCATCATCTGCTACATCTACTATATCTGTTCATCGTTTAATAAATAGAATGTGATGAAGCAAGGGTTATTTTTCATGTTTTCTATGTCATATACAGTAACGATGATAGATTCAAAATCAATTTGGCGTAGAAGAAAAATTTCAGAAGGAAACAAAACAATCAGTAGCCATCTGATTGTATCAAGTAATCCATGTGCAAAATAACGAAATCTGCGTATTTATCGATAATTCTTTTGATACCTATTACTTTTCATGTTCATGTACAAAAAGGGTGTGGGTGTGAGTGTGGGTGCAGTTGCAGCACGCATCGATAGTGACATCCACGCACCCACACTCACACACCCACACCCTTGGAGATGTTTCCTTGTTAAATGGAGGTATTTCACTGAACTATCTACTTCGATGTACTCAATTATCATTTTCTGAAAGATTATATTATCCTTTTTATTTCAAATTTCGTATAATTAAGTTTGATTGGGTAGACTGTAACTGACGATCAAGAATTGTTTAGGTATGGATGCACATATGATATGTGGTTGATTATGACAACAGGGCTTGTCCTTACACCCACCTGCGCTCACATCCATCTTACCCACATCGACATTTTTCTATTGATTCTTGGTAGAAATATCCGGAGTTACAAATCATCAAGACGAATTTTCGATACTGAAATGTATGAATGAATTTTTAAATCCATGAGAATCCATCGACCTCATGATTGCATTTTCAATCATTCGGGTTCTGACTGGTTTCATTCAACTTTGATCTGCGCTGCAGAATGCTCAAAATCTCTGGATATCTAATTTTCTCGACTTCGAAAATCACTAATTTCTTCAAAAAGCCTTTGCTTGAAGAGAGAATGAAATTCAGAATTTTCCATTACCCTATCACTCGAAAATTGGCGAAGTAGCTGCTTGTATCACGATGACTTCCCAACCCTACCTAATACTAATCGAGACCAATTCCACTAAATTCTAATTCCAGTCAATTCCGATATCAATGCTAAGACAAGAATTGAAATTAGTGCACCCCTAATTGTTGTGCATACATTTACCCGAAAAATCAACATAATTAAACAAAATTAAATAGAGAAATATTTTCGGATAGAGTATGTAAATTAGGTGTATTTCATTGATGCACAATATGAAATCTGTTATATAAACATAATAAGACTAGATATTGAATAAAATATGATTCCAATCGTAGCATAACGCGAAATTTCTCTGATCTCGATTAAGATGTGAATATGAGTGTAGAATCTGAATGTGGATATCGCTGTTAGAATGTTGGTGAAGAGAATAGCAACACCCACAGTTAACAATCATCGAAATCATCCGTCTATGAAAAAAAATAACATATTCGAGTTGAAAATAGTCAATATCATTTCGTTTCTATTGGAGAAATGCGAACGTGTTTGAATAAACTTTGTTCTTCTTTAGGATGAGATTTGAAGTTACAAAAGACTGTAATTGAATTATTTCGATGGAATTTGTTAAAAAGTACTTCTTAATTGCAATCAAAACTATTGTGTTTTGTAAGCATTACTCGAAAACAGAGTTTGCAAGCTTATTGTCACTATACACAAATATTATACTAATATATCTTCAAATTGATTTTTTTATGTAACATTACGACCGAAAAATTCAAGTTGATATAATTCATTCATTGTATGACTAAAAGTTCAGCATTGATATTTCGCTCGTGATTTTGATGACAATGTCTCTTTTAGATAACATTCAGCTTGTTGTTATTTTCATTATGATTGTTCAAGCAATTTGTCTGTGTATACACTAAAATTGTGAGATGCACACAAAAAATATTAACATATCAGAAACAATCGAGAAAAGAAAGATATCATATTTTCAAATAATGGACGCAGTTGGGAATAGCTGATGTCAAGTGACAAATTCATGATCTTCTCTTTCAGTTATCATCCAACATCTTGTTGCATATCTATTTGATCTTACTTTCCAAACACAGTTTATGTGGATGGGTTCGGATGGAGGCATTGGTCAGTTTGTGCGTCAACAGAATACCAAAACCCACACCCATCCTTTGAACAAAAAAATCTAAATCAAATATGATATATCTCCCATCAGGGATGAATTTGAATTCTTGTGGTGTGGTCAGTCAATATACTAAAATAAAAATGCATCTTAGTCCGAATGTGTTGTACTCTAAATGTGCCTTGATCTACTGGATAATCACTCATTTACCGTTTCGTTTTGCTCATAGAGAGATGTATAAAGAAGACAATGAAATATGTTGAATTTATGCATTTTTGTACATATTTTTTTCTTAATTATTTCTCGATTAACGTTTAGTCGATAACATATTGACAGATAGATCAATGATCAACATTGAATCACCTCAACGTAGTCTGATTAAAATCAAGTGTACTCGAGGTGGCTGGATCTTACGATCTTACTGTATTGTACTTCAAGAGTAGGTACTAATGATTCAAATTAAACTGAAAAAACAGTAGCTATTCGATTTTCGACAAAAGAAAATAGCAAACGTGTCAAAATGTATCACAATGAGCGCATTCTGTCAAATTTTTACTTTCCGTACATTCTGTTGCAAAATATGACACATACAACATATTTTTTATTAGTGTAAATGCATACTGTTGATGATGATATTGTGGCAAAAAAAAATCAAAACGAACACACTGTTGATTTATTTTTTGATAAAGAAAGTCTTCCGAATATATCTTGAAGTGTAAAGACAAACTAACTTTTCTGATTTGGACATGGATATACTCTTCAAGTTTCGAGATAATTAAAATAAAAACAGGACAAAAAGTTAGTCGTCAATATATTCGCTAAGCCGATTTTATCCATTAGGGTTGTAATGGCAGTTGATCATAAACATTGAATCAAATAGATAACTAAATGATCCATTGACAGCTTTTATTCAGAAGCATGTTGACATGTATTGATAGAATTCTTGTAGTGACCAATTTTGTCATGTCTGTTTTTCAACTCTTTCTATACTTCAATCAGTTGATTGATTGAAACATAAATTTTCGATTTATCGTGACAATAGAAACTGAATTTGAGCAAAACGTAAATATCTTTTCGGGAAAAGCATTTTCTGATAAAGTATAGACACGGTTATTCGAGTTTTGTTTTTTGGGATACTGAGTTTTCTGATATTCGACATTTCTCGATTCACAATGTATTTTGTAAATCGAGTGAAATTTGGATGCCATCTAGCTAATGGGATTCAAAGCACAACATTTTTGTAGTGTATTGTGTTTGCAGGCGGTCTCCATATTTTGCACGTTTTTCGTTGTTACAAAACTTTTATTTTCTGTCGTGATGATTTAGAGAGTGATCAGTTGTTAGAAAATTATTCGAACTTTGTCAGAGAGATCGATATTTCAAGAATGTGGATGAAGAAAAGACCTACACTCATGTTTACCTTATTTCACGCACATAAAAGTGATATACTGATATAAATTTCCATAGTTTTACTTGAAAATCAGCGGTTTAGTTAGATTCAGAAGTTATCAGTTAATGGACAATGACGTGTCAACACGCCGAGTTCCTTTAGCATTCTCCTGACTGCCCCACCGGATCGAAACCCGGAAAACTAAAATCGTCAAGATTAGGATCCGATTAGATTTACTGAAGTCATGATTGAAATCACTAGAAAACAGTAAAGGGAACAAGACCGTGACCAGTATAAAAATATCTTGATCCCACATATCTCTACTCTTGAAAGATTTGTTGAAATTTTTCGTTCTCAATTGACTTTTTTCTGTTCTATTCATTTTGCTGATCTACTCGTAAACCTCAATGTACTTGGCTTTTATTAAAGTAATGAAAAATTTCGAAAGTGGTAAAAACTCAATACTCTCCTCAACTGTCTGTTTTTGAATAATTTTTGAAAATTATATGTCCAGTATTCCATGATAATATAATGCGAAGATTTTTCGAAAAACAAGATAGTAGAATTTGAAGCTGCTCTAATGAGTCTATTAAAATCTAGCTATTTTACGATAAACAATGTATATTCACTAATGAAACACTTCAACGTATCTTCTTATGAAAAAAAATGAATTTCGATTTGTTTTGAAAATTCGGAAGTATTTAAAAGAAAAGTTCTTTCAATAATTCATTGATGAAGAATTTGAAACTTTATCTTTTTATAAAAATAAAGTCAGAGAGTAATATAATATCATTAAGTGTATTTTCAATTGTAGAAATAGAGTATGACTATTTTTACATTTAATAATAGACGACTATTGACCTTGAATGACTTCACTTGAGTATTAGTCATAAAGCCCAATATTATCATTAACTATTTATGTTACTTTCATGCGAAATTTCACTGTGTAATACCCTATCATATTCACTCGTTCTTTCACTGCATTTATGATAAAAAAACCTTCACATGAGTAATGATTTCTATTTCGGTTTACACTCAGTTTACCTTTACTAATCATTTTATTGAGTATAAATACAACAAATATACTTACATATTTGATTTGATTATTTAACAAAGTATATTATTATGCACTCTATCTTTAATATTAGAATTTTGCTCTTCTTGATAATTGGTATTACCCAGACTCAAGAAGGTAATATTTTGTAGATCAAATCTTTTTCTAGATGATTTTAATTTTTTTTTCAATTATAGGTCTTATCAACTTTATTAAATCAAAATGTAGTCATCAATGCGGTTTACATGAAGAATATATATGTGGACCAACTTGTATTGAAACTTGTGATTATAAACCACAAATTTGCACTGCAGATTGTAGATTTGGTTGCTTTTGCAAACGTAGATATATTCGAAAGTCTAATGAAACTGGTAGTCCTTGTATTCTAAAGCACCAATGTGTCAAGAACACGACATTTTCGAACTGTGATGAAAACGAAATATATGATCGATGTGGTTCATCATGTCCACCAAATTGTAAGGATCTTTATTACCCACAAAAACCCAAGTTCTGCACTTTACAATGTGTTGCTGGTTGTTTTTGCGAACAAGGTTTATATCGTACAGAAAATGATAAATGTGTCAAGCCAGAAGAATGTTGTCAAGGTCAAAACGAACAATATACAAGTTGTGGTACGGCTTGTCCTGAAACATGTGATTATAAGCCCGAAGTTTGTACAAAACAATGTGTTGCAGGCTGTTTCTGCAAGCCTAATTATATTCGTAAAGCTAACAATACTAGCAGCCATTGTATCGAACGAGATGAATGTTAGAAAGAATCGTTCATTGAACAATAACAAGCTTCAATTTTTTTGTGAATATTATTACATTTATTATATTTATAAACGCAGATGAACTCTAAGTTTTTTTTTATTCGAATTCTTACGTTAGCAAAAATGAATTGTTTTACTATTTTATTGATAATAGTGTTTTTTTGTAGTTGTTAATTGCCAGTAACACATGACGATAACATGTAACTCGATCTTAAGAAAGAAAACAATTTTATTTTGATATAGTTCTTTACTTGTTTATATTTTTCTTCAATCTTCTAATCTAAATCATAAAAACTACAATGTCATTTTCATTGTTTTCAAATCAAGTTAATCATTATTGTACAGATACTCTTGATATTTCAAGTGTATATTGATTGTTTGTGAAATAGTTGAAAAAAAAGAACGAAATAAATTGTGTACTATACATTCTACCTCTCATCAATCGTTATCAGTCTAGTGTCTAGGTGCACTTTTCTTTCTTTCTGTGTTTTTTTCATTTTGAATCGAGAAGTCATTTAAAACAAATATCATATTCCATTTACATATTCGATATGATTCTGTCTGCTCATATTAGTCTATTGTTAATTTTATTTCTAACAGTTTTTGCTATTCAAACACATGGTATTTATATTTGTTATTCATTTTTCTATTATGAAATTTTTGTTCTTTTAGGATTTGTATTCGGACGAATGTGTTTAGGGGCTCATCAAGAATATCAAATGTGTGGTTCAGCTTGTCCTCTTACATGTGTTGATGTAAGACATGCAAGATATTTCAAACCATGTACATATCAATGTATCCAAGGTTGCTTTTGTAAACGTGGTTTTACTCGAAGATCTCATTCAAGAAGTCATTGTATTCCTGATTGGCGATGTTAATCAAGTTTAATTTTCTTTAAACACAATTATATATTCAATAGAAAAGACTTATTATTCACTAAAATATCTTTCGAAATTTTTATTATTCGATAAAAAGAATTAAATAGGTATCAAGAAAGACTTTGGAACTCTTAGATCCACGTAAAACATTAATACTGATATGTTACCTTAAATAGAGTTTATTGGCATTGATGTAAAACATATAATATATCCACTTCAATGGATCATCAAATGTCAAGAGAACAAAAATAACTTGTTTTCATTCAATACAATCGTTCAAAATGAAAAAATGCATAAATATGAAGAAAAGTGCACCTAGATACTAGACTGATA